GTCGCGGCAGTAGAGGCGGCGCAACTATAACGACATGTGAATAATCCCGTCCACTCTAAAGCGGTACTGAACTGCAGTGGAAACGCAAACCGAGCCGTGCCGTACCACGCAGTGGAAAAGCGCCATTAGAAAGGAGGAAAGTGTTTTCCGAAAGGATGTTTCACATTTTGTCTAACTTGTTAAATGCATTGAAGATATACCATAGTTTGAATTGAAATGCTCTTTTTTTTAAGTTTGGAATTTCTTGGTGCACAAGTTTTCTTTTCAGTGTTTCGTGACAATTTCACGTGTCTTGTAACTGCTACATAATACCAAGTAACTTCATTTAAGTAGTTACGGCTAGAGGTGATTGGATTGAACAGGCATGTCCTCGTTTTCAGCTACTCTGACAGAGCAATGAAATGTTATTCATGTTTAAGAGATCTTTGCTAACCCTGATGCATCAAACAGAGCTGGGGTGCTAATATTTTGACTCAAACTGAATAAACCACTTTGTGTTATTATTTAAGAAGATTCTTCCCAGTTCACACAAAAATAAAAATTTACATTCATGGTGTTCCAAACCAGTTTCTTTCTTCTGTGGAATTTAAAAGAAGATATTTTGTGAAATGTCTTCATTTTTTTGTTTTATTTTTTTGGAAGTCAGTGGTCCCCAAATGTTTTTAGTTACCAACATTCTTCAAAATATTTTCGTTTGTTATCTGCTGAATAAAGTCATACAGGTTTTGGAACAGCATGAGAGGAGTAAATATCGTAGATTTCTTATTTTTGGGTGAACCCAAATGCATTAAAATGTTTACACAAAGCTATTAGTGCAGTCAGTACACTAACAATAATTGCTGGTCACTAAATCTGACAGATGTATATCAATATTTATCCAAAGAAGGCAGATCTAATTGAACTGCCCAGTTTAGTTTTACCCTGCTTCAGTCTTTTTTTTTCTTCTTTTTTTTTTATTAAAACGCAATGTTAGAAGAATGCAAATAAATAGATCATTGTGTTTTAAGAGGAAAAAATAATTGGAAACCATTTTTGTTTATGCCAGCTTCATGCAGTGATCTATCAAAGTCACGCACATGAGCATTAGTGCTGCACAAAATTGCTGCACTTCAGATTAAAGCAACTGGAGCAAATAAAGGTCACTTGTTAATTGTTCTGCTACGGTCTGTGATGTCTGTGGTTTTTGATCACATTCACACTTTGGTTTCACTTTATGAATTATGGTATATATGTTTTAGATTTGCTACTTTTGACTGATTCCTGAGCCTCTGAAATAGCAAGGGCTATTTAAACCTCTGTCGTTGACAGGTTTCACTATATTTGTGAGGACATTTTGAAAAAAACTGGCCTTCACAACTGTAGCTATACCTGTAAACCAGCGTGAACTCCTAATCTGATCACAAATTTCTGGTTTCCTCTGTGTGCTAGCTGACCAATATAGGAGCACCTCCTCACACTCCATTAGCCTGTTAAACAGTGACATGATCCTCACAAAATCCAGCCCAAGACACGTAACCTAGTCTATACTAAGCACACTACCTGCATCCTGATTAGTGACCTTGATAACCTACTTCACGCTTAGCCCATACTGTAGCCTAGTCATCATATACAGGGTCTTAAAAATGTATATGAAACTGGACCAAAACCTCAAACACTGGTCTGTACACAAGTGCTCAAAATGCATTTTCACCTGTAAATGAATGATGGCAGTAACATATCTTAACCCTGCCTCTGTACCTGACACTGTTACTGTTGTAGAAGTATAACTATTCTTCCAAGTCATTGAGAATGTAGCCCTCAGCCGTGATATGCATACTGTTGGAAAGAGTAGAAATTGTTTACTAAAATGTTTCATGGAAAAAAAGTCCTGCAGTGGTGAACTGTTGTTATTCTAGTACAGTTAGTCATAGTCAATGTTTTGCATCCTTGTCAAAAGTATGACATGTGTATTGTGTTGTGATTGATGGTTTTCCTCCTTTACTTTGCCTCAAGTCTCTCTCTTTCTTTTGATCCTGCAGTTTCCGATGGGTAGGCGGACAGCCTGTGATATCTACTGGCATGGCGTCTCTTTTCATGACAATGAGAACATCATCTCTGGGCAAGTCAACAAATTCCCAGGTAAACTTCACAAAAAGTAGGTCTTTAAAGATGTTGTCATCCTAGAAACGGCGACTTAAGTAATTGTAATAGGACACCACCATTTGCAATCTTGTGTAAATGTAAAATGAAAAAAAATGTAAATGACAGTGGGATCTGTCATTAAAGATCGTTTAATCCTAATTTTCAGACTGGTACGATGTTTGCATTTAAACTGGTCAATCTGGTATTACCTGTAGCTGGTAATTATGTTGTTATGCTGTTTTTAATGTTGTTTCTCACCATGGCAACTCCTTGCATGCTTGTGTTGAATGTGCTTCTTGTATATGAAAAGTATGCCATGGCAAGCCTATTCAACAATAAATATCTAAATAATAGTTTTGGTCAATTAACCTGGCAAGCAGGAGATTTACAAAATTAAACAAATTCTTTAAAGCGTTAAGGATGGGGATAGGGCTGTTAAATACAGTGTTTTTATAGTAAATAAAGATGAAAACAATTGATTTTAAAACATTTGACTGAAATCACAAAGTATAAGAAAAACTAAAGCAAAATGAAACTAAAATCAGTGGATCACAAAGTTGAATGATCTGACCTGTTTGTGTGGTTGAAGATGTCCCTCTGATTTCGACATGGTGAAACACTGTATCCTATTACAAAAAACCTGAAGCTAAAAATATTAAGAACAAAATCCGTGCATAAATTACAAAACTGCAACTATTGAAAACCATTGCTGAAACTAATTTAAACAAGTCTGGAAATTGAAAAATAGTACTAAACTTTGTCACATTTACATTAGTTAGTTAGTATAGGCTACATTCTGCATAGTCATGGCCAAAAGTTTTGGCAGTGACATAAATTTTGTGTTTTGCAATGTTTGCTGCTTCACTATTTGTAGATTATTTTTCCACATGTTTCTATGGTATACTGAAAAACAATGATAAGCATATCATAAGTTTTAAAGGCTTTTATTGGCAAAAAAAAACATGAGTCAATATTTACAGTGTTGACCCTTGTTCTTCATAACCTGTGCAATTCGCTCTGGCATGCTGGATATTAGCTTCTGGGCCAAATCCTGACTGATGGCGATCCATTCTTGCCAATTGTGAGTTGATCACAATTTGTGGGCTTCTGCTTGTCCACTCGCCTTTTGAGGAATGACCACAGGTTCTCTATGGGATTGAGCTCCGGGGAGATGCCTGGCCACGGATCCAAAATTTCAATGTAATGATCTTCAAAGCCACTTCTTTATCACTCTTGCTTTGTGACATGGTGCTCCATCATGCTGGAAAATGCACGGATCATCACCAAATGGCTCATGAGTCGTTGGAAGTCACTCTTGCAGGACGTTTTTCATTTTGTGTCAGGATCAAAAAACAGTGAAATTTGTTTTTTTTTTGTGAAAGTTCATTTTTTGGCCAATGAAGCTTTTAGCAATTATTAAAAATGCATCTGATCACTCTACACAATAATCTAGAAACAATGTGTATGAACACCACAACAGCTTAAGCAGCAAACTTTGCAAAACACAAAATTTATGTCACTGCCAAAACTTTTGGCCATGACTGTACTTGCTTTTAGAGGAAGGTTATCAGTCATACAGTATGGTGAGTATTGTTCACTGGAATGTTTTTCAGCAGTGGAGTCATAAAGGAGTCTCAAGAGCTGCTGACTCATGGGTTGGATGGAATATGGCTGTTTTCATAGCTGTATTGACAGTTGCTTTCACACAGACAGCCTTTCCAAGCTGTGTGCCTGTGTGTGCGCTATGGAGCCATTGAAATCAAATGATCAAGTGATTTAATGAAAGTTCTGGGAAATAGGGCTCTAAAATGTGTCTTTTTTTGAGAGAGAATAACGTCCCTGTAGGGTCATTTCTCTTTGATTTCACAGTTTTCTCATCAACTATCCTGTCGGTCAGCAGGAATGATAGAGATGCTGCGGAAGATAAACCTGAGTCGTGCCGTGCGTACCATGCAGGAGCTGTTCCCGGAGGAGTACAACTTCTACCCACGCTCCTGGATCCTGCCTGAGGAATACCAACTCTTCTCCTCACAGGTACAAGCTCAGTGAGGGAAACACTTCAGAAGATACTTAGGACACCGTATTAGAGTCAATCTTTGAAATCACAAAGAAGACATTTACAGAAGCTAGACAAACTGTCTTTTTTTCTGTCTTCCTCCAGCAGTGTTTCTCTCAGTGGTGTATCTTTAGGTAGATTGCTGTAGTAGTAATTGGTCAAGACAGAACCACAGTAAAACCAGGTTAAGCAGTTTAGAAGCCAGCAAGAGCTAATTGTGAATGACAAGTTTGTTACAAGATCTTGTAGTTACTGGATTTACATCTTCAATCTCCTTCCACATATTACAGTTACTGTACCTTTGTGCTTTATTTGTTCAGATGGGCTGCTTAAATGGGATTTTATCTTATGCTGTCCAGTAGGTTTAAACAATTTGTGGTTCAATTTGTTCGTTTTTTGTTGTTTTGGTTTTTTTTTGGAGTGTTTTTCCTTTTTTATTTCCCTTTTTTTAGATTATTAATACTTATTCATATTTGTGCATGAACCTTTGAGCATGAATCAGGAAAGACTTGTGAGGACTTGTGTTTGAGTAACTTTTTTTAAAATAGAAAAGCTGCAGGGGGCAGCAGAGATCTGCGGAAGGGGGGAAAAAGAGAAAACATGTATGCAGCTAAAGAAAACTAAATCTGCAAAAATGTCAACAATTCTGTGTTTTTCTGTCAATATGGGGTGCTGTGTGTACATTAATGAGGAAAAAAAATTAACTTAAATGATTTTAGCAAATGGCTGCAATATAACAAAGAGTGAAAAATTTAAGGGGGTCTGAATACTTTCCGTACCCACTGTATGTATATATATGCATATGCTACAATAGTATACACTGCTGTTCAAAAGTTTGGGGTCAGTAAGGTATTTGTTTTTAAAGAAAGTAATTTTATTCAGCAAGGCTGTGTTAAATTAATCAAGTGACCTTAAAGACATTTGTGACCCTGGACCACAAAACCAGTCATAAGGGTCAATTTTTCGAAATGATGATGATGATGTATGGTTTGTTAGGATAGGACAATATTTGGCCGAGATACAACTATTTGAAAATCTGGAATCTGAGGGTGCAAAAAAATCTAAATATTGAGAAAATCACCTTTAAAGTTGTCCAAATGAAGTTCTTAGCAATGCACATTACTAATCAAAAATTAAGTTTTAATATATTTACAGTAAGAAATTTACTAAATATCTTCATGGAACATGATCTTAATATCCTAATGATTTTTGGCATAAAATTTTTTTTATAATTTTGACCCATACATATATCCCATACAATGTATTTTTGGCTATTGCTACAAATATACCCCAACGACTTAAGACTG